TGGCTCAGAGAGCCATGGAACGTTCTATGATGGGAATATCGTTAAGAGATAGGATTGCGAACGAGTATATTAGGAGGCAAACGGGAGTTACAGACGCTGTTGAAAGGATAGCTTCCCTAAAGTGGAACTGGTCTGTACCATTTCCCCCATATGAGGGATGGAAGGTGGACTAAAACACTACTGGAGTGGAGACCACGACAAGATGCCACACGCAGTAGAGGACGACCTCCTACTAGATGGTGAGACGATCTGAGGCGCTTCAAAGACAATTGGATGCAGGAGGCACAAGATAGAAGAGCATGGACAAAGTTACGGGAGGCCTATGTTCAGCAGTAGACAACTATGGCTGTGTAATGATGATGATGATGATGGGTCTTCAACCCATTCGATTATTACAAATACGTTAATATTCTGTGGACTATGAGCTTCCATCATGCAACTTAAATTTTTAGGAGCCAATTCTATACAGTTCTGCCGTTATACATAACGACATGCCAGAAGGGTCCCTCTTTTAAAAAACATGCGATTTGAAAATTGCAGGTGCTTATGACATGTGGTTGCTCCATCATTGTTTCAGAAAAATATTCCAAAAACTCTTCGGCGAAGATAGTTCACAGTTCTGAACTCTGCTTTAAGGATTTTAATACAAGCTATTGACTAATTGCTTGCTGCGTTGCGATCTGGCGATTATCCTTTATTGCTTATAAAACTCCAAATCCAAATTATTTGTCCTTCTGAGACTGCCAGACGCCCTGATCCAATTAAACTAATCTCTTAAATGACGCAAGGTCCTAAATTTGCTATGTGTCTAAGAGATGGTTGTTTTTGCTACTTTTTCACTGTTAAAAACGATTTTCTTACGTATGCGGGACCAATATCCACAACTGAATTTCAATCTTTGACTTTCACTTAAACGCAGGTTTTAATTTGGAAATCAATAAAAATTTTGCTAAATTTTTTACTGCCATGCTTTCTGCACTTATTACAATAGCGGTTAAAAATCTATATGTTCGCTTTTTTCGGATGAAATAATAGCCCAAAAAAAGTATCCAAATTCTGTCACTTATCTGCTTTATTTAATATGTTCCATAGTTTATGTTCACAGTTTACCTACCTTAACATTCTCTTCAATTAATCAGTCTTTTATGCTTTAATTTTCTGTTGGCTTGTATGTGACAATTTACATATTTAGTTGCTGCTTTCTTATAAATATTGTTTTAGCATCATTTTAAATTTGTATAGAAGGGTTTCCCCAAAACCTTCTTAAATAAAATTCTTGATAATGCAGTGGAACTCAGAGAGCTCTGAGGGCACAAACGTAAAGGAAATCTAAATTGTATTTATGGCGTATAATAAAAGTAAATATTTAATTTCATTAATTTTACAAATTTTGCAAAAGGTTTGCATTTTCTTACGTTGGTCTTTTGACACATTAGACGCTTTCTTACTACGGCAAAAGCAAAACAGTAATAAAAAATATTTGTGAAAAATGACTCCAGAATGCATAAAGTGAATAAATCATATGCAATTTGATAAGGCCCAAGCAACAGGGTATAGGTGCATAATATAAAATTCAATCAAGAGACGTGAGCACAAAGCATGGGGAAAATTCTATCCTTTTCGCCATGCATATTTGAAAAACTCGCCCCGTTTCACGCAAAATTCCATAGAGATATTTAAATATTAAAATGTTATCTAAATGCAAAATCAGGTAGCAATTTGATTCCCTACAGATTTAATAGGAAGTTAATTGTGCGGTGTTAAAATTGGGATTTAAATACTTCAAAAATTGTAAGATCTGATGTAATAAAGTTTTTGGGGCTTTTAAGTCGATTTTGTCACAGTAGTGCTGATTATAATGATTATTTCAACTAGTATTTCAATTTCAAGCGCAAAGTATCAGCAATCATTTACAATTGTAGTTTGTACCTTATATAAAGCTCTCCAAACAATATTTGACTTAATGGATATCCTAAATTACTGAAACAGAACTTCCAATAATAAAAATTTCATTCAATATGTTTGAACATTTTGCATTCCGAAGCATCCGCCTCTATTCTAAGCTCGATTTGGTTAAAAATAGATTTAAGTGTAAATATTATAATGACTTAATATTAGCATAGCGTATAGTAATAGAAACTTGAACTTATGAAAAGGACTACTTCATCGCAATGTTAGTGTGATGTCGAATGAAAAGAAAATAATATATATTTACATACACAGATTGTCAGAGTAAAGTTCAAAGATTTTCATAACATCAATAACATTGCATTGAAAACTTGGAAGCAGTCTCCAACTCGCGATGCACCATCAAAGAAAGTAAAGAGTTCTTAGGCGATTTTCAAAAGCAAAACGAATAAAAGTGTTTAATTTAAAAAATACGACAGATTCTTAAATCTTTTTTTTATTTTGTAGGTATAAAAAAATTTCATTTCCTTCTCAATTGTCTGTTATTTGGGACGTAGTGTTACATTGTTATGTCTCTGATAAATTATACACTTGTAAGTTTAATTTATTTACAATTTTAGTTCAAATTTAAAAAAAGTGAGCAAAGTTTAGTTTATCTTTTAATTTCAGCTAAACCTCTATATTAAAATGAAGTCATTGTCCAGTTGACCCTTTGCCACAATTGCTCAAAACTGTGGATGAATATGGGAAGCAGGCAGTAAAATGGAACGTCGACGATCAATTAGGAAACCAAATAGACGCTACCGACGTCCATGGCTGAAGAAATGCAAAGAATACATCAGAAACTTTATTGCGTTTATGTTCAGCAATGTCGGCATAATTGGCCTAGTGGTAGGTACAGCCAGTATTAAAAAAGTCGATATGAAGGCAATTCGCGTCTAAACTGGACGACAAAACTATTTTAGAACTCCGGGAACAAGTTCAATTGAACGAAGCTCTATCAGCATTTTACCGTTCTGAATGACAAAGCGGTGTTTGTTTTCAGATTGGCTACACAATAGCCGGTTCCTTTATTTTCCAGTTCCTGGAAAGAGGAAAGCAAATAGAGGTGCACGTTAATGCCATAGGAAACAGGTCTTTTTATGCTCAAAGGCTGTGGAACCTCACGATGGATTTAAATTATAACGTTAAACTTCACGAAAAGGACTACCGAGCAGCCGTGGCAGGAGAACTTATAAAATTTCAAAAGGTTATATTTAGTTTTCGTTGATATTCAAAAAAATTGATGCCCTGATATATTGCAGAACTTCGTCAATCTAACTAGGAAGGGCTACGATGGCAGTGACGATGTGGCTGGAGAAAAATCTTGGAGTTTTGCTGGAGCGTTCTTATTTTCTTTGACAGTGATTACAACAATAGGTAAGTTGTGTTGAGAGTTTTTTGAGCATTTAGCTAGAAAAGAATTGGTTGCTGATGTGAGTAGCGTCAATCTTCAGAAGTGGGTTGCTCAAGCGTTTACTGTTCTTAGAAAATAATAGTTTACGCCTGTCTAAAAGCCCTACAGACTCGATAGTTTCAGGCAATCAACGCGAAAGCTTTACTTTTTCGATAATCTATACATACTTTAATGTAAGAAATCAAAATTACAACAAAATGTAAGAAAATCCCTCTGTGTCTAACTAATGTTCATTTTTAGCAGCGTAGCACACCGATTGTTGCACTTAGATTTTATTTGGCCAGACTAAATAAACTCGAGACCAAAATACACACGGACAGAATGGCTAAAAATGCAATTCAGGTTGCGCTGTTCCTATAGCTTTTTGTACTTAAAAATATAATTGGTACAGACCGTGTGACTGCTAATGCAATCCGTTCTATAACAAGAAAAATGAAAACAATGCAAAAAAGTGCTCAGACAACAAAGGCTTTTACGGCTATTCGAAATATCCGTTTTAATAAATTAATATAAGGGAACGAGAATGGCCCTGAAGAATAGGAATATAGAGAATTGACGTGTTCCAGATTGATAAGAAAATTAACATGAAATCGATCTCACAGTTCCTAAGCCTAACAATTAAGTGCTCAGGGTGGACGAAACAGCAACTATATACTTCAAACTAAATTTCTTAAGATTATTTAAAAATGACCACGCTGCAAGTGTTGCAAAATCTCCTTAACGGTATTCTTAAGTCTATCTATTCAAAAGTATTTTAAAAGCAAAATTGCCTTTGAAAGACTGCAGAGAAAGGAGGTGTTTTTTGACCAATTTTTTCAATTACCCCGGATGAAAATGTTTATTTTCAAAATGATCAGCATCTGAATATGTACCCTCGCCATCTAACTGACATTCTATACCTATCTTTATATAACTTTACTTGCAATACAACGTTTAATTCTTTTATAAAATAGTCCCCCTACCCATTAAGAACCCTTTTATACATTATTATCGTCCCAATGAACTGAGATAAGAAATGCAGCATAAAAATTGGGAGTAAATGAAACACCAAATGTCTTGGCAACAAACATTTGTATGAAACTTTGCTCTAGGGATGTGGATACAGAGGAAGTAAGTTACGCGAGAAGATAAAGACTAAAAAATTTTGTCTTGATTTTGTAATGCGTTAACGGAATTTTGACTTTCTATATTAATTAACTTTACATAACAACCAATTAATAAAACAAAACTTTTTTAAAATTAATATTGTTTGACAAAACATTTTTCTGCATAATTTGTTCGAATAAAATTCTGTGACGTTATAATTAATCACCTGATAGCCGGTGTTTCTTAGAAAAAGCTTTCATTTTGAGAACTATAGATTTATGCAAGTTTTTATCGAACACCATCGCTAGCTTAGCGATAGACTATTTGACCAAAGAGTAGAATTTTTTAATCCACGCGCCTAAAAAGTAAAAGGTGGTAAAATTTTGTTTCAGAAAAAAGTTGTTTAAAATCGCGTGCAGAATCTGTAGAAAATTACTTATTGGTGAGCCATCATCATTCTTTGTTCGAAATTTTAACAGTGTTCTCAGATTTTTATTGACAACAAAGCTTTTTTTGTCGCATCGGGATGCCGATTTTTTGGGGTTGAGACTACCACACAATATCGTCGGACATATTTTTGCTTGATGGCTTTTATGGAAATTAATATTGCGATGACGAAACGAACGTTCGTGTTAGTATAATAAATACAAAAACTTTGGCTTTTTTGTAGAAACTATCGCACAGCTAGGCATCCGTTGAAGGCAAAATCTGAAAATACTCGCCGCTCATTAAGTTACTCAGTTTCCTGTTGATTTGAAAAGTATGAAATACACTTTTTTATGCCACAAATTTAGAAAATTTTCTACTATTTACTCGTACTGTAAAAACATATTTAAGGTACTAATAACGTAAATAACTACTGCAGCGTAGAAAAAAAATTCGAAAAATAACTTCATACTATAATTTTTCTTTTATTATTTTTCCTAAAGAAAAGAAGGAGAAGAAGTTTAGTTTAGTTCCAACACTTATTTTATACCCTGTATACATGACTTCTACAAATATTTGTTAAACATCCACATTTTATTCATTGACAATTAATAAGCAAAGAGTATTTCAAGTCAATATAAAATATATTCCAATTAGCACATCAATTTTTCATGGCAATTAATTTAGATGAGAAATTTAATTAATAACTCGCTACTGAAGCAGCCATATTTCAACAAACCGAAATAAAAAATACAACATACTGGAAACAAGCCGCTGTTTTGAAGGATGTTTTGCTTGTTTCTTTAGTACTAACATTTCGCTTTTCGCAACAGCGACGAAAAACACTACCAAAAAGGTCATTAATTACATCTGTATTAAGATGTGACGGTTATATAAGTCGGATCTATTTTCACATTTTCACATTTCACACACTAAATGTGAAAATATTATAGACTAAGAACATAATTAGCTGGTAAATATATAGCCTCTAAATCAAAAGGGAGCGCCAGCAGTCTAATGAGACATTATTTATTTCCCAATTACCCAGAGGCACTACAAGAGATTAAAGAATATTTTGAATGAACAGAATTATAGACTTAATAAATAAGATAAGGCAACATAATTACAACCGCAAACTATCAATACTCTGAAGAAAAAATCAGAAAATCTCATACTTACACTGAATACTATTATTGCAATAAAACTAATTAAAACTTGAAAGTTAAATATATCTTTTTGAACTGGGATAAGCAAGTAGGCAGAAATTCAAAATATTTAGCCAAGACTCCGGTAATATTAAACTCAAATCGAATTTCATTTTGAATTAATCGTATTTGGAAGAGACCTATTAAACTTTTCGTATCAATCTTTGGAAAAAAAATATATCTGACATTGCATGATTATCGGAGCACTGCTAAGGAGTTTCAGTTTGTCAACGAAAATACCAATTACAAAGTATTAGAAGCAAGAACTTAAGCCATACATTATTTTCTGCTCAATAATACAATGCAATAAACAATGCACCATTATTTTTGATAATCTTTCTACTTCAAGTGAAACTAAATAAGGAAGTAGTTTATAATAGAAAAAATTAGATCAAGTCCATGTGCGGAATGTAAAATAGACTAGCTATTTTGTTGCTAAAATTGAAATTATAACATAAAACTCATAAAGATTCTAATTTAAAATTTAAAATTTAAAATAATTGTTAATTACTATAAGTAGGTTTTGAATATTTCTTGTAAATTGTTTTACAAGGATTATATTGCATTGTAGTAGGTACTTCTTTAACAGGAAATGCCAGATATGGAGAATCGTAGTTTCAGCAAATTGGTTTTTAAAAATCCTTTACGTACCATAAAGAAAACTAGTTCTATGAACCTTTCGATCTTGAAACAAAAAAATCCACAACTTATATTATCGCTTACACTCTATGCTTCAAGCCGCGTCAATTACTTCCATAATTTCAGTTTCTGTTATATTTTTTAAATAATTGTTATAATATATAATGCGCAGGGGAATGCTAATTACGTTATTAAGTTAAAGTGAAAATAAGGAAAGCTAATTATAGGGGTTAGGAATATCATTGGGATTTTTGTATTCAATATTATTGGAGACAATACTTTTAAAATCTATTTTCTTCTGACATTTTGTTATGGAGCTTAAAATATCCCAAGCAAAAATTACTTCCTATTAGTGCAGTAGTTTGTTGATGACCGTGAGACATATTTGGTTAAAGATTTAAAACATTTTTCCATATTTTAGTTGGCACTAAAAATTCAACGAATTTCATGAGTAGTTCTAATTTAGCGTTGTTCGGCAGTAATAAAAAGTTCTTGAAAAAATCAGTTAAAACTGGTCACAAACATTTAAATTTCATAACAAAAATCTTAACTTATCTAGCATAATAATAACTTGATCAAATTTCCAACTTAAAAGCGTTAATGGCAAATCGGTATTATATGTTTGGTTAGTATATGTTTGGTATTTGTACATCATTGGGTCTTAATAGACATTAAAAATGTAGTATTTATCTAGCATGTAAAACAGTTCAAAACCTAAATGAATTTAAGGCGAAAAACATTCTAGTTTGCCAAAACTGTATTGTTTTATTTCCAAAAGAGTTATTTTCATTTCAAACACAAAATTGATCAGCTCACTAATAAGATCTTATTAAATGCCACAAAGCGGCTAAATTTGCTATGGAAATACATATTTAAAATACCGATAGTTTGCAATTTCAGAACGGCCCTAGATTACTTGATAAGAATATTAAATTGCTTGCTACTGCAAGGTTTTGACTATTTTGCTAGAAATTTACGAATTTGATATGCAATATTAATAACTCAAAACACAGTAAAACCATCACACAATAAGTGTTTTCCCGGCAACACTATTTTGCACTGGTAATATTTCAGTAGCGACTTTCTAATAGGCCTTCGTCTATTTCTTCCTTTGCATGATAAGATTCATAATTTCATTAGTCTCGGTCTGTCTCAGGACTTGTGCAAAAATTATCAGCGCACAAGTTTTAACGTTGTTAATAAAATCCGGTTGTTTACTATATTTGACTGCTGAAACACATTTGGCAGACATTTTTCTGATGAATCATTTTGAGTAAATACTGCTAGTAATTTAGTTGCGCTATAATAAACTTCTTTTAAAATTATTTATAAATCATGAATGAAAATTACTTTATGAACTGTAACGTACAAAAGCTACTACTATTTCATTGTTATTCAGATATTGTTATAATAAAATGTTAATGGACGTTGTTAAATTCTCTGTTTTGGTACATTTTAAAAATCTATTAAAAAGTGAACTGGAAACGGATAATCTAAACTCATCAGTTTTATTCCAACAAAATAACTGAATATCAATAGTGGGATCCAATTAATTAAAAAGACAACTAGCACTCGATTAGCAAATTTCCTTAGGTCATCACCGAGAA